GAGATCCGCGCTAGTCTTCCGATTTGGATGACTTAGCCTTCAGCGGGTTGTAGCGAGACATCCGGTTCTTATGTAGTCTTCCGGATCTGAGGATTTACATCTGATTGAGAAATCCTTACTTGTCTCTGACATTTCCGAACAAGATATCCAATTTCCATATCACTGAATTTGATTAAGTCTTCAGGCATCAAAACGCTTAAAGAAATATCACAGCTTTTATTGGAAATCTCAAGAGCTCGGTTTTGACAATATTTCTAAAAAGAAAAATTACATTGAATATTGGGGGAGACCTAAAGTCCCTAATACATTCTAAATACATCATCATCAAAATCTATAATATTTTTTCCAACAAAAGAAGCTCCAACTAAAAAAATCATAAAGTACCTTGATCCCTTCCGCCTCCAATAGTAGTCTAACATGATCGAACATTCCTTGTTGGAGAAAATAAAGACGACCTGGGTATTGACGTTTTCCGCGTTGAACATAGAATTCTTTAACAAATTGAACGAATTTGTGGACATCGCCATCTTCCAGCAGAATCAATTGCTGATTCCTGCCTATTTCTTCGGCAAGACGGTCGATGCTGGACGGCGGCAGTGGCAGCTCGCGCTTCATGAGGTCAGAGAGAACCCTCAGTGTTTTGAGAGGGGGAAGGTTCCCCATCGATGGGCTGAATTTAAGTTTGGAAGGATCAGGGGGCGTCGTGAATTCGTGCCCTGGAATCTCGTAGGTGGTGTAATCCACAAACCCTCGCACCTCGATCACCGACTCATCAACAAACCCTGGCCTACTGTCCATGATTATGATTGTGCGAATGAAGTAGAGAGACACAACGAGATAAGATTGGGAAATTTGTGCGTTTAAATACACGGCGCTGCGCGACGATTTTTGCTTTTAGGGTTTTCCACTCTAGCCCATCACTTTTTTCTCGATCCGTTTGGTATACGGAATTGATGGAATTGGAACTAAAATTTCATGGGATTCAATTCCATAGAATTGAATTCACCAATTCCAAATCATTTTTTACACTACCAATTCCAAATCAACGTAATTTTTGTGCTACCAAACATTAGAATTGGAATTGAAGTCCTCAATTCCAATTCCATAGTTTCAATTCCGTGTATCAAATGAGGCCTAAGGGAAACCGGACGACATAGATCTAGGAACGCATCGGGACTGGAACAGACAAAATAATTACTTGTTTTGTATATATACTATTTGTATTTTTTTCAAATATTTAATCTCTCATTAAAAGTGCCATATTGCAAAAATATATAATATTGACTTTTAACAATATACACATACAAAATATTGTCATTAATTTTTGTTTCATGTGTTTTTCTAAAACAAATAAAAGTATAACATATTATTAGTGGTGGACACGATGTTGGTTTGGTTCGGTTCAAGTTCAAGTTCTCATCGCGTTCCCGGGTCAGTTCCCGGTACTAGTTTGGTATTTTTATGTTTTAACAACATTGTGTTTTAGTTTTTAATAATGTTGATGGATACCCTGGAATGGGGGTATCCGGCCCAACGAAAATAGCGGCCCAACCCAGCCAGGCTCAAGCCCACTCAGCTGGGCGGGACTGAAAAGAAACTAAAGTCTCAAGAGGGCCGCTGCCGCGTCAAAATGCACTCGGCCCCGACAGACAAGCCCGGCCTCGGACCACCCTCGGCCGGCCTTTCGTCAGGGGACTTCAGGAAGCAGATCATGTGTGCTCGGCCTCGGCCTAAGATGCTACCAGACCGAGACCACAGGCATGGAAGCTGCCTAATCACTCAAGTCAGGGGGGCCATGATTGGACCCTTGCCACGCTTCCGTCAGAGTAGTTTTAGCAACCCTACTTGTAACCTATCTTGTATAGCCGCCCTAGGGATAATGATGTGGTTGGCGCCGCTGGTTAAACGACCAAATCTTAGTGGGCCAGATCCGTTGGACTCTAAACCAACGGATCGGGAACCCCATTTGTAGTTGTATATAAGTCCTTTCTCGGGAGAAAGGGAAACACGTTCTCTTGCACACTAATATTTTTACAATCTTACTTGATTCCCAACTTGTGCACTCTCGACTCAGTTCGATACTCTTTCGCCTAGTCTCCTAGGCCCCAGGTTCCTTAACCCAACAAATGTATTTGAGTGGCCCGCCATCAAAAAAATAAACAGGCCGCATTCGAGGCGTACCCAAAAATCCAATTAAGGGCCCATGAGCTTGGAGGACTCGGGCCATCTCAGATAAAGAAGATTGGGCCAAGTCCAACCTAGATCGGGTCCATATAAAGAAGGAATTGGAGTTGGAAGGCTGCCAATGAGTTAGAAACATTAGGCTAGAGCAAATATAGAGCTCCACCCGAGAGAGAGAGATTAGCACAGCCTATTCCCAAAGGATTAGGGTAGCACATTCAAGGGGGGCAAGAGGACACTAGTTCCTGATAGAGTTTGAAAAGGAAGGGACAAAAGAATATTTGTCCATTGATCGCCTTATAGTGAAGCCTATGACACAAAGTTAAAAGAAATGTCCAAGAATAAGTATGAAATCTCCTTGATCCGTCTCCAACCACAGGAAGATATTTTAATATGATGGTTGTTGGGGAGGACTCTATGGAAAGAGGAGTGGCATCCTCGAGAGATATCTTGTAACTGTGAGAGAGAGATGAAGAGAGAGAGAGAGTGTGTGTGTGTGGTCGATATAATGAGTAATAAAAGAATATTATGATCCTAAGAAAGACAATTTAGAGAAGTGGATGTCGGCTTGAGTCCATTTACCGTGTGTGATCATTTTTATTACTCATTACTCATATGTTCCTACTCTTCCACTATTGCAAGGCTAGACCATTGATAGTTGAACCTTGGACTGCCTGACAGCCCGAAGGGAAAATATCATTGATCCATCACTAGCGCAAATCGTGGGACAAAAATCTTTGTAAAAGGTGTTCTAGTCCTAAGAATGAGCCTCACTTGTTCATAAGATTAAAAAATCGAGCAATTCTCTAGAAAGTTGATAGCGAGCCACCTCCTTTTCACTATTCATTCAGTGAGCCCTTTATTTTCCTTTGGCATTTAACGAGCCTCGTTGTACAACAAAGGATGGAACGTTCTCACGGTCTATCGAGAAGGCTCGCTCACCCTTTCCTATCCAATTTTAAATTCTCAAAAGTTATCCTCGTCCTCACCTTAACAACACCATGGGCAAGAACAGATCCAGAAGGAATCTGTCTACATAAAAGGCTCGAGCAAGCTTGAAGGGGAAGAAGGAACTCTCCCAACAGGACCTCAAACATCAAATAAACATGTCACATTCTAAGCACGCACCCCTTGAGGGAACCTACCAGCAGAGCTTATATTCAAAGGCTCCCAAAAGCTCTTGTCTGGTCCCTGAAAGCTCATGGGCCCCTTCAGATAGGTATGATGCAAAATATCCCCTTGTCCAAAAATTAATTGGATGGTGGAATAAAGGAGAAGAGGTTTGATCCCTTAGGACCCAAAGAGAAGAAAGTCAGGGTAAAAATGAAGAAGCTGAAAGCCAGGGATGAATCTCTGCTCACAAGAGAATAAAGAAGAGTGCCCTATGGAGACTGGGTGTAACACCCCATCTTAGGTGACCAGAGTCACCCACACTGAAGAGCTCGTAATCTAGGTTTACTTAGTAAAACATTATTTAATTAAATTCTCATTTGGATAACTTGGTCGTTTTTGTAGTAGTGGGCTAGACCATGGTTCAGGCAAAAATCATAGGTTTCTAGACTAGCCATCAACCCAGCGATGGGAGATATTACCCATCCATGGGTAAAGTGATCCTTTAGCTCAGCTGGATTCCAGAACCATGCCACCCAGCGATGAGAGATATTACTCATCCATGGGTAAGTGATCCTTTAGCTCAACTGGATTCTAGAACCATGTCACCCAGCAATGGGAGATATTACCCATCGATGGGTAAGTGATCCTTTAGCTGAGCTGGATTCCAGAACCATGCCACACAGCGATGGGAAGTTCCACCCATCGTTGTACAAGCCTTGGTTCAACATTAACACAAGGCATAATGCCCTGGCCTTACCCAGCGATGGGAGGATATACTCATAGATGGGTAGGCATGACTGTTGTAAGGCATTTAAGCCCGATTCTTTCCTTGTTTGAAAGTCAACCTCCCACCCAGCGATGGGAAGTTCTTACCCATCAATGGGTAGGTGACCGTTGTCTTTAAAACTGAAGGAAAAATGGCTTACCAGCGATGAGTAGTTCTATACATCGCTGGGTAGGCTGATTTCTTGAAGATCCACATTTTAATATCAATCCCACAAATAATGCTAATCACCCCTTAAATGTTTTGATCCGTTGGAGCCTATTTTGGCACTATAAAAAGGGGTGTTTGGGTTTGCATTACACATCAATTCACTTCACATTACACACACTATCATTGCATTCATATAACATCTTTTTCCATAGCTTTCTAGAGCCAAAATTGTGTGAAGTTTGAGTTGTTCTTGAGCGTATATATTTTACTCAATATCCACTCTAAAAGAGAGTAATTGTTCTTGAGTATTTGTTCTTGATGTTCTTTATGGTAAACAAAGGTATGGTGGTAATTGAAGGTATCCGACGACAAGATGCAGTATACCAGGGTTGACAACGATGGAATTAGCTAAGGAGAACGAAGAGCAGAACAATTTCGAGGGGAGAAGGCGTATCTTTTCCGAAGATTGGTCGGGGGGTTAAGGATGAGTTGGACCTTCAAACGACGCTGTTTAGACCCTTCAAAAATCATCATCTCTATTCGACGGAAACTTAACGATGAATAATTGATTTTATTATTTTCGTTAATATTTCCTTAAATTCTTCGAATATGCTTTTTTTTGGATAAAGCTATTTGTACCCCAAGAATTTGTACCTCATTTTGTACACCGCAGGATGCATCAACATTTTGTGTTGGTATAATGCTAATTTTTGTTAACACAACAACACTTTGTGTCAATGTAAATTTTTGTTAATGCACTAACATTTTTTGTCAGTGTGAATCATCAAAATATTGGTGTATACCTTTAGTGTACATATGAGATACAAATTTTAGGATAGATAGTCTTTTTTTGGAGGATGCCACAGCCACTTATTCTTCGCCTTCTCAAATCTAAGCACTGAGTAATTCATCCGACATCTCAATGAAGCAAACCTAACGCACCTGTTTGACCAAGGAGAAAGTGATTCCGTCCGAATTCTATGACTTCTTCTTTGCTTCTCCCTCGGCTTCACGGTCCGGCGACTGCCGGCTGCAGGTGGGATAACTGGGATTCTCTTGGGATCCAGAAGTCCAGCTTTCTCTCTACCCCTAAGCTAACATTTTCACCCAGCCGCAGAACGAAGAACAGTTTGAGAGGAGATTTCTCTTCTCCCGAAGCTTCCAAGTCTCGTCTCGACCGAATACCCAAACAGTTCCGTGGGGAGAATCTCAAAGATGGGTGTCAGTTTCATTAACCCTTTTTCTTAGTCTTTTCACTTGGGGGGGGGGTCACTTCCTTAGCTATCATTTTTAGAGGTTGATTATTGAGTCTGATATTCCCTTTTATTGATTAGCAATTCTTGTGGATTTCTGTTCTGAATTTTCATTTCCTGCAATTTTTGGCTATTTTTCTGGTCATTAATGCTGATTTATGAATAGAAATTGGGCAATGCTTGCTGTCTATATTTTGTTTTGATTTCTGAAGACCAAAATGCAAATATCATAGTCAAGCAGGCTTATGATTGTATTCATTCGGATATTTGTGGTAGATTTCATGAAATTGCGTAGTAGCTATATCTCCCATTTTCCTAAAATTACCTCTTTAACTTTGTGAAGCCACTTGTTTGCAATACATTGCTGAAAATTTCTTT